TTGGCTGTCTTATTCTCTTTGTGAAGAAAAATCTGTTATAAGACTTTGTTTGGTTACTTACTGAGCCTTAAACCACCAATTTTATATCTAGAACTTTATTTTTTTAAGGTATTAATTAGCTTGAATACAGGACCATATAATATTGGATTGAAAGTTTTATATTATACTGCAGTGATAAAAGCAATAGGAGAAATAAATGACATATGTCCAGTGATACTACTTGTCATTGTTAATAACCTTAGGTAGTAGTTGATAAATTATTTTGGAAAAAGTAAATTCAAGATTCTAGGAGTATATTTAAAGAACATGAAGTTGTATCTAGTACTTGAGCAATTGAATTCCTCTTTACTGATGGACATTTAACATTGTATTTTCATGTAATATGCACCTCACCTAGGGTATATAAGAATTGAAACTAAGAGATATTTTGGCTTTGTAAATGAATGTTTTTATATGCTTTTTTTTTTTTTTAGATTTCTCCATAAGGGAATACATTTCTTAAACACTTATTCCTTTTCCAGTTAAGCAATTTATAAGTAGAGTCCAGCTCCTTTTAGTTATGTTGGAGATATTTCTCTCCTCAAGTTTGGCTTCTTGTACATCAAGATATTGGTTGTCTTCCCATGTTTCAAATGTATGTTTATGTATTACCTGTTAGTTATTTATGAGGGGTATTGCCCACCTAGGAAACAGTTTTTATAAAATAAGTATTGATTAGTAAATTTTCACCTCTGTATTCGAGACTCTAAAAATGAATTCTGCTCCAGAAATTTTTTTTTTTTAATAATTAAAAATGTATCTTCTCGCCTGGCTGGTATGGCTATGTGGTTGAGTGGCGACCCATGAACCTGGAGGTCATGATTTGATTCCTGGTCAAGGTACATGCTCAGACTGTGGGTTCCATCCCCAGTAGGGGGCATGCAGGAGGCAGCCGATTGATGATTTTTCGCATCATTGATGTTTCTCTCTCTCTCTTTCCCTTCCTGTCTGAAATCAAAAAATATTTTTTAAAAATGTATCTTCTTTGAAAATATATACACACATAAAATACTCTAATGAAATGTTTCCTTTCTAGTCACTTAACAGATCTTTATTTACTGTTTTGCTAGGTGCTATTTCTGGAGTTGGGAATATAGTGATGACTTAAACAATACTCCCTGTCCTTATAATGCTCATAGCCTGGTTTCGGAGACCTCTTATTTTCACTCTGAAGGGTTTGTTAGAACTCAACTATAAAACCATCTAGTCCCAATGGGGGAAAAAAAGAGGACACCTGTTAATAGTTTCAACAATAAAGATAAATAAAAAAACACATCTAGTCCCAATGCCTGCATGGGGGCAAATCCTTGGTCTTCCTGAGTTATTCACCATTTCTTGCACATTTCAGAAATACGTTTTCTAACTTATTGATATAAAGTTGTACATATTTTCTTAGAATGAAAAAAAGCTCCTGTTCCTAACTTTTAAACCACATTTATTATACTTACTAGAGGCCCGGTGCACAAAAATTTGTGCACTGGGGGGGAGGGGGGTCCCCTCAGCCCGGCCTGTGCCCTCTCGCAGTCTGGGACCCCTCGGGGGATGACCACCTGCTGGCTTAGGCCCGCTCCCCGGGGGGACTGGGCCTAAGCTGGCAATCAGACATCCCTCTGGCAGCCCGGGAGCCCTCAGGGGATGTCCACTTGCCAGCGGGGAGCAGGCGTAAGCTGCAGTCGGACATCCTTAGTGCTGCTGAGGAGGCGGGAGAGGCTCCCACCACCACCACTGTACTGGCAGCCATCAGCTTGGCTTGTGGCTGAGCAGAGCTCCCCCTGTGGGAGCGCACTGACCACCAGGGGGCAGCTCCTGCATTGAGCGTCTGCCCCCTGGTGGTCAGTGAGTGTCATAGTGACCAGTCATTCCCAGTCGTTCTGCTGTTAGGGTCAGTTTGCATATTATCCTTTTATTATATAGGATAGAGGCCTGGTGCATGGTTGGGGGCCGGCTGGTTTGCCCTGAAGGGTGTCCCGGATCAGGGTGGGGGTCCCGCTGGGGTGCCTGGCCAGCCTGGGTGAGGGGCTGATGGCTGTTTGCAGGCTGGCCACACCCCCTTTAGGGTGGGGGGGTCCCCACTGCGGTGCCTGGCCAGTCTGAGTGAGGGGCTGAGGGCCATTTTCAGGCTGGCCCAGCCCCCCCAGCGACGGAAGCTCCCAGCCTCTCCTTTTTTTCTTTTATTCTGGGATTTATTTACCTTCTATAATTGAAACTTTGTAGCCTTGAGAGGAGCTCAGAGCCAGCCAGGACAGGCGGGAAGCTTGGCTTCCTCCATCATTGGGGCAACCAAACCTCCTGCTTGCTCCAGCTCTGTGGCTGCCGGCCGCCATCTTGGTTGGGTTAATTTGCATATAGTCTCTCTGATTGGGTGGTGGGCGTGGCTTAAGGCATAGCAAAGGTACGGTCAATTTGCATATTTGTCTTTTATTAGTGTAGATTGATATATTTGATCTATGTATTTCTGCCTTCCTTTTTTAAAAAACTTTCCTGACTTTTGCTGTATTAAGGTCTTTGCTCCCTTTTTCTTAAACTCACAGTTTGGAAGTCCTATATCCTGGTATTGAGAAATAGAATATTACCTATAATAACCCTCCCCCTCACATAAGACCTTTAGAAAATTTTCTCTTCAGCCTTCTGGAAAATTTAAAAGGAATTTATGACTTCACTAGAGGCCTGGTGCATGACATTAGTGCAATAGGGGGAGGAGGGAGGGGGGCGGGCCTCAGCCCGGCCTGCACCCTTTAGCAGTCCCGGAGCTCCTCAAAGGGAGCGGACCTAAGCTGTCAGCCTAGCTTGTGGCTGAGCAGCATTCCCCCTGTGGGAGCGCACTGACCACCAGGGGGCAGCTCCTGTTGAGCATCTGCCCCCTGGTGGTCAGTGTGCATCATAGCGACCTGTTTGTTCCGCCATTGGGTCAATTTGCATTATTACCCTTTTATTATATAGGACTAGAGGCCCGGTGCACAAAAATTTGTGCACTCGGGGGGGGAGGGGGGGGTCCCTCAGCCCGGCCTGTTCCCTCTCCCAGTCTGGGACCCCTCGGGAGATAATGACCTGCTGGCTTAGGCCCGCTCCCGGGTGGCAGAGGGCAGGCCCAATCCCTAGGTGCAGCCCCTGGTCAGGCTCAGAGCAGGGCCAATTGGGGAGTTGGGGCGCCGCCCCGTCATGCACAGAGCAGGCGGATCGGGAGGTTGCGATGCCACCCTCAGTCACGCTCAGGGAAGGGCCCATTGGGGGGTTGGGGCACCGCCCCCTGTCACACTCAAGGCAGGGGTCGATGGGGAGGTTGTGGCGCCACCCCCCAGTCACGCACAGAGCAGGGCCGATCAGGGGGTTGGGGCACTGCCCCCTTGTAACACACAGAGCAGGGAAGATCAGGGGGTGGGGGCGTTGAACCCTGGTCAAATTCAGGGCAGGGCCAAATGGGGAGGTTATGGTCTTACCCTGTCAAAAAAAAAAGAAGGCCCGGGGAGGGGGGTTGGGG